CTGCCTCCATACGCTTAATTTCGACTTCTTCGTATTTTGGGGAGTTAAATTTGCCACTTCTGCTTTTATGTTTTCGGAATTTTCATTTCCAAAACAAGCCATTTTTGAATTAAAAAAAAAACGCGTGAAATGCGATTAAGTTATGTGACGTTTAAGAAGAAAAAAATATGTCATGCACCACAAAACAAAGTCTACCTGTCAAGCCAACTTTATTTTGGCGAAATAAGTTTCAAAATGAAATATGTCAAATTTTTAAAATAAATTTTGGTTGTAAAATTTTCTTACGGAAATTTTTCCTCAGTCACCCATTTTTCTAGAAAATTTTCAAAAAATGCGTTCCTTCGGAAAAATTTCCGGAAATAATTCAAGCACTAGGGAGATTATAAGTGACAATTTAACGCTTGTATAACACCCTGTATTTAAAAAATCATTAACCAAGTTTTGATTGAAGTTACAAATTTTAAATTTCTTCCTAAAAATAAATCTTATAATCCTTCAGCTGTTGCTTCATCATCGTTTACATTGTAGTAGACAGAAGCCGCACAGCCAATCCCAGTTTACATTATTATGAATGAGTTGCAAATAACTCATTATTAATTCAAAATATGGCCGTATAAAGTCATCCGCTCCGCTGCATCCGTACAAGTAAGGTAAGAGTGTCGTTCCACGTTTCACATCCTGTCACCTACTAGTACCAGAACATGTGCGATATGGTAATCAAATGGTGAACCTATTACTCTTGTAATGAGGAGAACGTAGAATGCCATGAATGCGAAGATGGTATATTTATGGTAATGGCTTTATTTACTGACGACCTGAATCGAAAAGAATACGCAGTGATTAGTGCTCCAGTAGACATGTAAATTATATACGAGGTGGATGGAGGATAATAGGCTGATTGAAACAACGTACAATTTATTTTTGGCATCGTTACTGAAAATATTTTGCTGTAAAACAGATTAATTGTATCGATCCTACAGATCTTATCAAATATCAGAACAACATAGTGACTATTCATTTTAAAAATATTCGCTTTCAGTTTAAATCTGATATAAAAGTTGCTTATGTAAAATAATTATATTGACAGATCTATTAAAAGCGATTTAAACAAATTTGGGAGTTTATAAATTCCAGACTTACACCCGGGTATTCTCTTCTATCTAAAAATCATTCAAACTCAACGTATTATTAAGAAAATTTGATATAAACTTCTGCAAAAAATTAAGGGAGCAAAAAATTTTCTAATTTTTAGTGATTTTTCAGAATGCTGTATCTCAGTTAAAAATGATCGTATCAAGGTTTAAAAAAAAGCATTTTAAAGCGCCGAGGGTCTAGTTTCTAAATTTCTTAGCTCAAAATTTTTAGGAGCGACAGTCATCGCGAAATTCTAAGAAATAAGACTAAAAATTTTTTTTTCAATTTTTTGCATTTTCTCGGTCCACGGGCTTGGAAAAATTTTTTACTCAAAAATCATGATATGGACTTGATAGCCTGTTCATTCAGCTTTAATTTCTTTTTTAAATTTTTCTCTACGTTAATTTGACCCGGAGATATTCGACTACGAATACAAAAGCATCCTTTTGGCTTTAACCATCGATATCTCAGCAACTAATGATCAGACAGAAAATTGACGGGCAGTTTCGAAATCTCGAATAAACTTCCTACAAGGCTATGTAGCGTTCTCGGAAGAAAAAAATTTTCTTTCATCCTCGACATTAACTTGAAAAAAAAAATGACTTTTTTTACTTTGAAAGTTGATAAATAAAATAAAAATGGTAAATGCCGTCTAGGCATGACAAAAATTAAAAAAATTGAAGTCTACAAAAACTTTTGATTAATTTTTTTCACTAGAATTACAAAAAATATTGTTAGTTTTGAGAAAAACTGTTTATTGGTTCCTTTGAATCAAATATAGAGTTAAAAAAAAACTGTTTTTTTCACACTTGTTAGCTTCATAAGAAAGTTTAGGATAATACGCACTATTTTTTCACAGATCGAGGACTACACTAATCTTGGGGGTATCAACTTTTAATCAATTTCGTTAATTCAAAATAAAGGAAATTACGGTACGGAAAGAGTACATCGCTTCAAAAATGACTCAATATTTTTATCTTGAGTTGTTAAAAAATAAAGAAGAGTAAATTTTCAAAAAATTTTCGAAAATTAAAAAAAAATTTTTTTTCAAAAATAAATATTTTTTCTTTCAAATTCGATGAGCAAAAATTGCCCAATTGTGAAAGAATTGCAAAAAAATTGAAAAAAAAAATCAAATTTTTCATTTTTACGAACGTTACAGGGTGCTCAGAAATGTAAATTTTGCTCCTTTAAATTTTTCTGAAATTTTGATTAATTCGGCGCTTTAAAATGCTTTTTTTAAAACCTTGATACGATCATTTTTAACTGATACAGCATTCTGAAAAATCACTAAAAATTCGAAAAATTTTTTTGCTCCCTTAATTTTTTGCAGAAGTTTATAGGATATATTAGGCGTGTCTCAGGGTTCGATACTTGGCCCACTGTTTTTTATTCTTTTCATTAATGATATCGCGAATAATGTCCACTTTCTGCTGTATGCTGATCTACTCTAGTGTGAGGTTTTTTGTAAAGAATCATATCGGTGTCTAATGAATTTCCTATTAACCGCATGGAATTAATCACGTGTCAGTGTAGTAATTATTATTATTCCGCAACCAATGTCAACCGTCGAATACAGATTTCCTAATCAGAGATGTAGCAATAAACTTGTATAAAAACACGCTGCAGGAATCTGTCACGAAATTGTTTTAATCCTGTGTAATATTGATATCTATTTTGTTTTGTCTATACAGAGCGTTATAAATCGCCGTGGCTAATACTACTGATACAATGAGACAAAGTTCAGAACTGACATCACAGCGGTAGTTTGCGGACAACATGATTGGTTTGCATTGCTGGACTATTTGCAGTACATATTTCGATTTATTGGCTCCCTGGTTTTATCATATTAATATATTGTTATGTAATTATTATTTTTGTGGGTGTATTATATGATATTATGTGTATGTGGTCCTCGGATAACTCAGAATAACAATAGGAACAATCACTTACCTTCAATGCTTAGATGTGAGTGCCATTCTCAAAATTTTTTTTTACTAATTTGAAATGAGGAAAAATCACAGAAACAGATGGAAAAGTTTTAAAAAACCGATCAATCCGTATTTTCTTTTTACCTTGTTTTATTCACTAAGTTTTTATCATGGACCTTTGCACTAATTTGCTAGTTTGCTGCGGAAAATGCAGGGCGACTCTCGTTATAAAGTTGATGGCACTGCTCCGATTTCAGCACTGCTTCAGTCTACTATCTCTTCCAACCACCAGCTCCTCACAAATAGGTCTTGTATAGGCTTTAACTTCTTGTTTGGGACCTCCAAAAGGAGAGACTACCCTCTGAGGAAGTATTGTAATGTAGTAAATGTATGAAATTTACCTTTTTTCCCCTGTCTTGTTTTATATCTTCTCTATAAGCGTCTTCAAATGTTTGTTTCTGTGTTTTCCGATTTTGTGTTACGTTTTATCAGATTTTACCCAAAAATTTGAGTGATGCAAAATTTTTAATAGCCTCTCTCTTCCAATTTCAAAATCAACTAACTTTTTTGTTTCCCCGTCCGTTTCCTAATGACCGCACTCGCTTAAATACGTTTTAAATTTTCACAGCACTCTTCCTATAATGCTAATTTTTAGAACTAATGAAAAAATCAATTCAACTTTTGTTATAACTAATTACTACTGTGTTAAATTTTTGTAATATTGTCTTTAATTCCCCTTTACTTTAAATTTTGATTTCATGTGTTGATTTTTAATTTATTGTCAAAGTCCTTTCCCTTTCAATTGGACCCCTCTCATGTAGGCAATGACATTGTACTTTGACAGCTGTCACTGTTGGAATCTATTCCTTCATTCTCACAATTTTATTTTCAATTCATACAATTATTATTACAATTTGCCAAGCTTTATGCAATCCTAAACAAATACTTATTCTACTGAGTGTGCGGCGATTTCCATACATCTCAATATATTTGTTTTATTTTTAATAAAATATATAAATTGATTATTTCATAAGGCCAACATTTACAATTACAAAAATATGTAATTTTTTCCTGAAATGTTATAATATAAATAAACGAGAGAAATCACTGTAACATTGAGTAACTTATTATAAATACCCAGTATTGATGCACGGTTTTTCAAATGGCCTTATAAGACGCCAATCAATTACAACCGCTTAATTATCGGGAGTTAATTACAATAATCAGCATAATTATTGGAGAATTGCGATGGCTTCCTACAAAGGCTGCTGCATAGGTTCTTGCGTAACTATTAGTTAACCCGATATTATTTTGCAGTTGCAATACAATCAGGTTGCGGTAAAAGTGTGCTAGATTAGCTATAATATATTATAAACAGGAAAAGTTAAATGGCCAAATAAGGGGCATGGAACTGGTTTCGGTCGATATTGTAGCATGTAAGCAAAGTAACGAGCACAATTTGTGAAATTCATCAGGCAAGTAATGAAAGCACAACATTAGTTTTGCGGCAAATATGCGAAAAATAATCTCAGTTTATTATCCATTTCAGTATCGCAGCCATTGTTGCAAGCCCGTTCTATTCTGGGAAAAAATCAACACACAATCAAATTGTTTGTTTATGTAATTGCCTCGCTGTGAAATTATGCGGAAATGTACGACACAATAATTAAAATATGGATTTGTTACGTTCAAATATATAGCTGGCCAATGGGTGTGTTGTGAATTTTATTTAAATCTAGTCATTATTCAGGAAAATGTAAATTCTTGCTTTCTCCGATTGTTGGGCAAAGTCTACTAAACAAATAAAATTTGTAGCATATCCTATAAAAATAGTTACACCACATCGCAATTGAAACAACCGAACTTTTTAAATTTAATTTACTAATTTTAATACAGTGGTAGTTCTTCATTTCTTACTAATGATTCTTGTTTCAGTATTTGGACTTCGATAATTTACCAGACACAAACTTCTCCTGTCTTGGCAAAGTTATCGGAGGTTATTATGCGGATTTAGAGACGAACTGCCAGATGTTTCACGTTTGCACCATTGGTCAACTGGACGAACCGATGGACATCCGGTTCCTGTGTCTCAACGGAACAGTTTTTGACCAGGTAATTACCTCCTTAACGCAAAAATGTTCTTTTTCCAATCATGCTTTATGGTCAATAACGCATGGAGAAAAACAGATCACTTTTTTCTTTGTATTCGAAGTTTTAATTCTTCTTTCAGCAACACCAACATGCGAACTAAAACATCTTTGTCTTTATTTCTAGGAAACTCGGGTATGCGAAAGGATAGACGAAGTTGACTGCTCAAAATCTGAACAGTTCTATGGTTTAAATTTAGAACTATATGGAAATACTCAACCACCTATTTTAGAAGGTAAACATTTGTATTTGTCATTCTAATGATTACCTATGTCGAACTTACCTTTTCGAACATTCTACATATCCTCCACTTATAAATTATTGTACTCTTTCAGATTCTCCAGAGACTGAACAGCCCCTAATAATAAAATCCACCACGGCGACCACTTCCACCACCACGTCGAAGCCGAAAGCAACCAACACCCACTTCTATACCAGCGCCAAACCGTCCACCATCACCACCCAAGCAGTAGCTCCCCACCATTTCCCGGTGGCGAATTCCCCGGACATCCGCTTTAATCCTGAGGAGATCAACATCAGTTTGCACCCTGGTGCTCCGCCCGACATAAGGACGAAACCCGCGACTTACCAGCAACAAAGTTACAGTGACAATAATAAGAATGTTGTAGTGACCACGCACAGTGAGAGTAGTGATGCTAAGAAAGTGTCTGTGACCACTCATTCTGAAGTGTTCGACGACGGGAAAGTGCTACAGAGTGAAGACTTTGCAGAGAGACCACAAACTCAGACGCCGAGAACGCAAAAGCCTCAGCATCACAACTTCGGCCTTAGCAACTCGCAAACAAGCAAGAACTTTCACCATTCAACACCCAGTGATATAAACTACGAGTTTACCTTCCGTCAAACTGAGCCCAGTTTCCCAGATTTCCACACTGAGCTGCCCCAGAGCTTCTTTCACTCAGATTTTCACACTGATCAAGATTATGCAGGTAGGTTCAGTTGAATAGGGATTTCGAGGTTGCCATTACTGTGTCATTCTAATGTAGGTCATCACCACAATCCCCAGAGTCAACAATTCAAGTCAAGCACGTTCCACGATGATTTCATTTCAACCACGAAGGGAGTCAACCATTTTCAACAGAAGGTGCCCACGACAGTTCGCAACATCCTACAATCTCTGAAACCGCCAGCACCTAACCAACCCCACCACTACAATCATCACCAGACTGAAAAACCGCAGAGGGTGCAGCTGCCTCTTCCCCTGTTGCCAACATTGCCACCTTTAACTTTCAGCTCTCCAGCCCCATTCGCACTTCAACATCATATAGACACGAAAAGGTAAATACAGAAAAAAAAGAGATATACAAATTAATATAATTGTATTTTTTTCAGGTATACAAAAGACCATCCATCCCCTCCTAGGATAGTCATCAGTGCAAGCGCAAGCGTCAGCGACGCTAGCGGAAGAAGACTGAACTATTCTTTAGGAACCATTGGTGCTGCGGAATTCCTTGAGCAACCACCACATTCTTACGATGAATATAAAGATGAAGACGTTGGTCTTGACCCATTTTACCACGATGTGCCAAAACTCAAAAGGTCAAGATCCAAAAGAGACGCAATTAAACACTCAGATATCATCCGGAATGAAGAAGAAGCAGTTAATGTGCTTAAGTTCCTTTTCGATTGGTACAGAAATAACGAGAAAACTGCCACCGAATCAACTACACTGCCTACAATCGTAACTACCGCTCCTGCTACGCCTAAAACGGATATTAAAGATGTCAAAACCTCTCCTAATAAAGCAGCAGAAGCAGAATACAGGAACAACGAGAAAAATACCAGTACATCGACTACATCAACTGCACTGCCTACAGTCCTAACTGCTGCTCCTGCTACTCCTAAAACGGATATTAAAGGTGTCAAAACCTCGCCTAATAAAGCATCACAAGCAGAATACAAGAATAACAAGAAAGCTGTCACCGAATCGACTACAGTGCCTACAGTCATAACTACCGCTCCTACTACGACTAAAACGGATATTAACGATGTCAAAACCTCTCCTAATAAAGCCGCAGAAGTAGAACTACATGCAGAAGCAAGTGAGGCAAATCTGACTAAAGAAAACCATAATAACTTTGGGAACAGCGCCTTGTTCGACAGAAACAGCAAGTTTAACATTATTGGCAACGTCAAAAAAGAAAAAAACATTCAAGAAAGAAGAAGCACTGATGCTGTTACAAAGCAAATGATTAAAACAACCACTGCCAAAACTACGACTACGACCCAAATATCCATATATGAAAAAGATTTTCTTGACGAGTTATTTGGAGACTATGTGAATGATAATTTTGAACCAATAGTATATAATCAAAAATATGAAGAAGACGGAAAGAAACAGGATACATCAACAGAAGCAGTACCAGTGGAACAAGTTAAAAACCAAACGCCTAGGAATCACGTGGATCACAACATAGAACCAATTTACTTCAAAGATCGCATTGAAACAAGAAGGAATATCGAGACAAAAGTATCGACTAGTATTAAAGCTGAAACGAAATTACCACTGAAGGAGAAAACTAAAGAAACTGAAGACATTCTACCAAGCACCAGCACATATTTAACATCAAATCACGTGAAACTTTCCAACAAAGAATCAAAAGAACTTTCTTCGAACTCAAATAGAAAAACTGACAACGAACCGAGGGGGGTGTCATTTGAAATTGGAGATACTGAAACTAACAATATTAAACAGAATATACAGAAAGAGGAAACTTCAACAAAAGCCTCTGAACCTATTGGGTTCTCCGAACCTAAATCGGAGATATTGGAACCTGTCACGACAGAGAAAACTACAACAACGACAACAAAGCCTAAAACTAGCCACAGAAGAGGTAGGATGAGGTACCATACTACCACTGAAAGGGAGAAAGAGTTAGAAAATAAAAATGTCGTATTAGAAAAAATTACAGAAAGAGCTCATACCGCGAAAGATGATTTCAACTACCTCAGAACCTTATATAAAGTTTATACCACCACTCCTACATATAACTTGCCTGAAACTAGAAGCTTCGAAGAAAATGGTAACACTAAAACACAGAGGGTAATCAACGATTACTTCGACTTGAAAGAAGCCAGTCCTTCAGACAAGGTCCTTCGAACTTTGGAAGAAACTAGTGATCCAGATATAGATAATGCCACTTCTCAACCAGATCTTATCCCTATCATTACCACAGAAGCTACAACTACCACAGCTGTAAATGAAAAAGTTTTCCCACCAACTAACATTTCTATTCTAAATACATCAGTAGGTATCACTTCAACTGAAAGAACATCAACTACAACTTCAACTGAAAGAACTTCAAGTACCACAACAACGGAAAAGTTTACACCACCAATTACTACAAGTGAAAAACCCTTTAGTACTTCCACAATCGAAGAGTTCATACCTTTAGCAAGTAAACAGATTATACCATCTAGTACCATAAGCCAAATGATTACGCCGTTAAGTACCACTACAAGTGAAAAAACTATATCAAGGACTACAGTAACTGAACAGATTATGCCAATTACTACAAGTGAAAGAATATCAACTACCACCACAATAGAAAAGTATACACCGTTAAGTACTAAAAGCGAAAAACCCTTAAGTACTTCCACAACTGAAAAATTTATATCATCAGCTACCATTGCCAATGAACGGATTGTATCATCAGGTACTCTAAGTCAAATCACATCATCCGGTACCACTACTAGTGAAAAGATTCCATCTAGTACCCCTGAAGAAATTACACCACAGAGTATTACAAATCAAGTTATTACATCAAGTGCCACAACAGTAGCAAATATACCATCAAGTAAAACTGTAATTCCATCAAGTACCACCACAACTGAAAGGATTACATTGTTAAGCGCTACAAGTGAAAGCACATTACCTTCCAGTACCACCACAACAGACATTAGTATACCACCAAGAAGGGATAGTAGAAGAAGAGGAAGAACTAGGTTTGGTGACGAACCCAATCGAAGTAGGTCTGAACAGAGAAGTCACCATAGAAGAAGGCCTGATAAAAGTGATACATCTACTTCAAGATCTAACAGTACTCCTCACTACTCCAGTACTACTGAAGAAAATACCATTCACAAGAAATCTGGCTACCAAGAGGAAACAATTGAAGAAAATGGGTCTAACATTAATAGAGTCATTTCTTATCCAAAAATAACAACAGAATACAACCCAATATTGCCGAATGATGTACTATTAAGTGGATCAACTGAGACAACAGAGTTTTTTACACAACTGACTTTAAACTATAAAAAGATATTTGAAGATCTTAGCCAGACGTCGGGGCCGGCGACATCCCAAGTTTTAGATGAATCTACATTGGCAGTAACTGAAACAAACTATAATATTACTTCATCCGTAAAGCCTTTTGAACAGCATACTGAAGGAGTTAAACCACAAGGAGAATTGATAACGCATGGAGATCCATTACCAACTACGATTCCTCCAAAAGAAGTTAGTATTGTGGAAGAAGTGGTCCAAAGTACTATAACACCAGACAATATAACACCCTTCGCTCAACTAAAGAGTGAGAGTCAAGTTTTACAGACTGACGAGCAAACAACCATAGGGAAACCTGATCAGGAAGCTGAATATTTTAATACAGAAACTATAGAAACTTTAGAAACTGTTCCTACAACATCACTGATTACTGAAAAATCGGTTAAGGCTGAAGTAATCACTGAAACAGCGTTAACTCAATCTGTGGATGAAGTTTTCAATAAAATGACAGATACAACTACAGAAAAGCTGTTAGAAGAAACAAAACCTGTAGAAATCATAGCTGGCACATCTTCTACAACTGAAAATATTAATAGCCAAGAAAAAGCTGTGGTGACAACACAAGAAGCAGTTCATGAAATTAAAGAAATTAAATTGGATTCCACCCGGGATAGAAATGCTGATACCACTCTAGAACTAACAACTACAAACTTACCATCTTATCAAACAACAGTTAGTCCTATCAGAGACGACACGCCTTTAATTCCAAGGATTACAGAAATATTTAATCTATTTGGTATTACTAGAGACAAGGATATTTTCGGAATACCTACAACACTATTGACTACAGAAGAAGCAGTTAAATCTACTGAGGCTTCCCAGGGAAACTTTGATGAAATCGTTTCAACGCAAAGATCTGAGGAAAAAAATATATTAGATATTAGTACTACAACTCCCAGTACTGAAACTTATCAAAATGCAGACGTCAATCTTGAAACAAGAACAGAATATCCAACTACTATATTTGTAGTTAGAACAACAGACCGAACTCAAATGGAAGCAAAATTGAAGGAAGAAGTGAAGGCCGAAGAAAATGTAGATCAACTAGATATCTACCCAAGCACCGTATATGTAATTAGAACAACTGAACGCCCTAAGGTGTCACAACATCAGGAAGAAGAAAAATTATATACACTTCATCAATTATCTAAGCAAAATTTACAGAAACTTATTGAAGAAATTGAAGAAAATACGAAGAGCGTCGTTGCTACCACAAATGTTCCGCCGATGGTAACTAATCCTAAAAATACCATTGCCACCGATGAAAAGATAAATAAAGATTTTTACGAGGACGTGAAGAGCGTTATTGCTACCACAGAGAGAAGAGACGATTTAGAGGAACTAACCAGTCTCTTTGAGTATACAACCAGAAGTAATATTGTTGCTACTACTCCAGTAAACATTGTGTTGTCTCCACAAGAAGAAAAAACGGAGAGTAGTACAGCACCAAGCACCACTGAAGTTCCTCGTATATATTCAGAATCACCAACTACATCTGCTAACAATGCAAGAGACACCGAACTGATGTCTACTAGTCAAATAGAAAGATTGACAATCTCTGAAAGTTCCCTCAGAACCACTCCTACAACAGTAACAACAACTATAGCAAGTAGAAGAGGCAGTTCTAGGAGAAGTGGTGGTAGAGTTACAGGAAGAAAAAACTCCGAGGCCCGCAGAGGTGCTGCCAGGCACAGATTCAGCACAGAATCTTTCACCAAACGCCCTGACGGTGGCAGGCACACTGTCGAGGAGGACATATTAGACGAATTGACTAAAAGCTCAAGAGGTGCCACTACTGAGTCTTACAGAAGAAGGCTTAGAGTGAGACCCAATGGTAGCAGGGTTAAGGATACTTCCACTGATGCGCCCCTGCAAAAAAGTGCCAGCCCCACGCAGCCAGAGAGAGTGAAGGACTCTTTGCCTACAACCCCTCTTTCTAAAGAAGGCAACGGAAAGAGGCACTTCATTTTCAACTGTTTCGGTAAAAAAGTGGACAAGTTTTACCCTGACCCAAGAGACTGTAGATTGTTCCATTATTGTACCCAGGGGTACAATAAGAACCAGTTGATAGATATGAAGTTCGTATGCGATTTGAATACCTATTTTGACGACGTAAAACTGACCTGTTCAAAACGGAAGCCCAGGAGGTGTATGTAAATACTTGTAGATTGTCTTAACAGTGTAACTCGATTCAAATTTCGAATTGAATTTTATGTATCGATCCGCCCACTCTAAAAACGTACTAGTGTAATTTTATAAATATATTTTTTGTAATTATTGCATATACAATTGTTATAAATACTCATAAATTAATATATTAAATTAAATAAAGTACTTTGTAATTTATATAGTTAATTTATTCATCCTGCTTAGTAAACATGTCAACAGTGGTTTAAGAAGCAAACAAGGTAGGCAGCCATATATACCAATAAGAGGTATATTGTGCAGAGAAAAAAAGCAGCCATAAATATCTTCAGTAACTATTTATATTATTGTAACTGGCAAAATATAGAAAAGTATTTTTACATAGGCCAAAGAAATATATAGAAGGGTAAAAGAATAAGTAGACTTAGTAGTAAAAGTACGATTTATTACACTTAACACAATAAAATATGTACAAACTTAAATTATAATTGGCGGGTACTTTTCATATCTCCAAATACTGGTCTCGTTTGGACATTAACGACAAAAACAATGTAACAGACTCGTAACAAATAACTTAATTTAATAATAAAACTATTCTAATTTTTCACAGTAGACTTCTTAATGTCGGTGTCGATGTCATATTCTTGCTCACTGTTGGGATTGGAATCGTAGTATGCGTAGTCATAGCTTACGTCTTTTGTTTTTGTGGATTTAGGAGTGACTGAAGAAGATGGAGATGACGGCGAAGACGGCCTGCTGGTATCAGCGGCTTGCTGAGTGGTTTTGGTGCTGCGACTGACTGTTGACGTTGGAAGGTCTGTTACTTTCGGAGTGTTGGTCACCTTGGGAGTGTTGGGGCTGACTGAAAATGGTCTAGGGGAATCGTATAGGGGTTTTTGAGTAGATTCTTGTTGTTTAGTGGTTCTGGCGAGTTCGTTTCTGCTAGCTGCGATGTTTTGGCTGTGCGCCGTCTTCAGGAATTCGTCCTCTCTTTTGTCGCCGTAAGCGCTGTCATCGTATTGGGTCTCGTCGAAACGACTTGATCTGAAATTTACGAAAATATACTTTTCTGTTCTGAGCTAAGTTGTAATTAAATATTAAGTCAGCGGAAACTAAAAGCAGAGTCATGTACTGTTAATGAAAAGGTAAATAAAGAGTTAGTAACAGCAGAGGAAACATACCTGTGTACCTGTGTCTGTAATAAGTTAATAACCTCATTTTTTTTAACTTCCCTTTGGTATCAAAATTGCATTATACCATATCCTGATGTAAACTTAAAGATAAGGTTTTATAAAGCAGGACTTCTGTCCAAACTGAAGTTTCAAAAAACACAATTTTCTGAATGCCAACGTTTCTCTTCTTCATTGAAACATCTTCAATACCAAGAAGTTATATGTTAGCTATGTTTGAATATTATTTTTTATTCTTTAAATAACTTGTAACTTTTTTGTTAAATTTAAAAGTCCTGAAAATGTCTTTATAAGAGTCAAAACATTCTAAAAATTGTGTATATCTCAACTTTTGTCCAGCAATTCCAATATAATACATATTGTTATTAACTTGGCTACAAATTCTATATTTTATAGCGTTTCATGCTAAATTGGCAATGAATTGACTAATCAGCAATGAAAAATATAGTGTTATTGATGAAACTACTAATTCCAATGAATCCAGTGGGTGATCCTTCACTTTGGATAAGAAAGATCCTTACCTCACAAATTTGATAGCCAATAACTGTTGTGAGGGATCAGTAAACTTGAATTGAGACTCAGACCTACATGTACAATAGGGCATTATAAGGAAAACATATTTACAAAAGAATTAATTCGTTCATATCATAATCTTTAATTATATTTTTAGTAAAATGATATTTCATCCCCAGTTGGATAGAATCACTTACAAAATCAAATGTGCTCCACAGGGATCAATTCGAGACCCCCTTTTATTCTCAATATAAATAAATGATAAAAATCTATTATTTCTTAGATTACAAATCAGAAAAAAGAAATACAAGCAAAGATCATATAAAGCGAAAATATCTATGTAATCATTTCCTCACCTACTAACTGGTGTTGTGGAGCTGATCTTCGGTACAGTCGGAGTGTATTGGGTATAAACAGTTGATTTTGGAGTACTGCTCTTAGTTTGACTGCTGTATTGCTCATTGAAAGTGGTAGGATTGCTGTATTGAGTCGTCGACGTCTTCGATTGAGTACTTGTAGGCTGCCTGCTGTTGTAAGTCTGAGTCTGCTGCACGATTTGAGTAAAAGCGGCGCTCGTCCTTGGGGCGAAGGTAGTCGGGAGATTGGTGGATGGATCGTTGGAGACACTGAATGGTTTTGGAGCGAAAGTGGTAGGGCTGGTCTGGGTTTGTCTCAAAGGAGTGGTAGGTTTCTTGTCGGTGTACTGAGGGTTGTTACTGGGGTAGTTCTCGGTTTTGCTGAAAGTTGTTGCTTTGGAGGGATAGTTTTCGGTTTGTTTCGTTTTGGGGATGTCGTACTGGGTGCTGTAGCTTTGAGGAAGTGTTGTAGGGTAGTTTTCTTTCTTGGTTTGTTTTACTTTGGGTATGTCGTATTGGTCATTGTAGACAGTTGTTTCTTTTCGTCTTTGTTGAGGATAGTTCTCAGTTTCCCTGGTAGGATTTTGTGTTGTGTATTGTTGTTGTTGTCCGTTGTTTGATGTAGATTGTCTTGGGGGCGTGTTGTATTGCTGAGTTTGTCTGAAAGGTACGGAGGTGCTTGTAGAGTAGTTAGGAGTGGGCGAATTGGAATTGGTTTGTCTGAATTTCTCAGTGTTGTATTGCTGCGTCTGTCTAAATGGAGTAGTGGTACTTGGTGATGCATTTGGAGTAGGCGAGTTCTTGGTTGTTCTGAAGTTATCAGCATCGTTATACTGCTGCTGTTGTTGCTGCTGCCTTTGTCTTTGGCCTTGTCGGCCCCTGTTGATGGTAGTGGGGTTCTGCTCAGTTGTTGAAGGCTTGGAAGTTGTTGGAATGTAACTGCTACCTGCGAAGTTGTTTATGAAAGCAGTAGGTCTTGGTTTTCTAGTCTGAACATCGTATTCGTCGTTCTTTTGGTTATTGGAATCTTGGTTATTCCTATCGAAATCATTATTTTGTTGTCTGTTTTGTACAGGTCTACGTTGTGTCACCCGATTGACCTTCTTCTTCTTCTGTTCGTAGTCCCTGTCCTGGTTAATGTTGACGTTATCGTCGTAGTCTTCGTCTTTTTCTTTACCATTGTTCCTATTGTTGAAAAAGTTTGAGCTGCTGGAACCTTTGAAGATGTCTCGGTCGTTGTTTTGGTTATAATTATTGTTCTGTCTCTGTTGGTTGGGTCTGTTGTAGTTGTCTTTGACATCTTTCTTCTGGTTTACGCTGGTATTCTGATGGTCTCTGTTTAGTCTTGCATCACCTGTTTCAGCGCGTTGTAGGGCAAAGGTTTCTTCATCTTCTCCATATTTCACTGCTTTCGATTCAAAACCTGCAGCAGCCAAATTGGAAAGGTGCAGTTATACAGATTATATATTGGAACTAATTGTTAATGCTTTGATAATTTATATAGTGTCCTATGGGTTAAAGGTAGATGGTAAGGATGACTAATTAATGAGTAGTGAAAATATAACTATAAATTTGATGTTTCAAGCTTCTTAAATATCATTAAATTTCTCCCTAAGATGACGTTAATGACGAGAATCAACGTTAAACGAAGTTGACTGCTGTTACTAGAACTTTCTCGATACGCGTCGCAGGAAATCTAAAATATAATAATGCTCGGATCCCACATAATTAACATTACTGCTTTCTGTTCACATAACAGTGCAGGACCATCTTTAGTTACATAATTCACATAAAATGCTTGGAGACATTCTGTAATAATTTTATTGTTGTTGAGAAGACATTAGGAAATAATCTGTCTTGACTAAGATTGCAATCACTTGTTCTTGTTGCTTCAGTCAAACAAATATTTTTCATTTTATAAATGAAATCATTACTAAATAAAGTTTATTGCATGAATAAGTTCAATTAGAAATTTTGAACCTTGTAATTTTACAAATATCTTGTCTTTATTATGACTTGATGTTTACTGATCTTATCAATCGATATATGATTTGTTGACACATGTTTTCTTTTAAATCTTTTGAAAACTATCTAAATATTACAATTTTTTGTTTAGAATTTTCTTAATTTATAATTTATCATTGATCAGGATGTAACTGAGATACTTGATTAAACTTTAATACCATTACTACAAATTCACAAAAGAAAGTTCTTATAACTATGTATCCACTCCATTTTCGAAATATAGAGTGTTCAAAACAATGAACGTTCGTTTATTTCAAGATACAAAATACATTTGAGGAAAATCATATAAATATTTTATTAAATTTATGTATTATTATTATTTCAAAAACAAATTGATGGTTTGACACTTTTAGTGTTTAATTATTTATCTTAGAGTCCAATCAAGTGACACATTTTTTAAAAATATTTAGTGCTCAATTATAATAATAAATCCAATTTGAGATAATTTCACACAAAAAATTATTATTTTGAATCAAGGATACAATTATTCGATATTTCTGTTTAAGCAAAATCTTCAATAAAATTGCTTCTGATTTTTTCGTTTATATAAGTCAAATACTAAATTTCAAAGCTTTACAACTAATTCACTATAACTGAAAAAACTAGATTTTTTTACAGCCCATTTAGAAAAAGAAGTGTTTTGAAATATACAGTGTTTGCCATTTAACACTCCCGCTGTCAATATCTCCGAAATGAAGAAATTTATTTTAGTTCCGGAAATTGGAGTTGTTAGGTCCCTCGAATAGCTTCAAATTGTAGTTAGAATTGTTAGTTCAAATCTTTCTGTAGAGGGCGTGGTGATACTGAAAAATTTTTGTTCCCTGGAACGTGGAAATACAGTCCATTTGAAAGATCGTTAAATTTTGAGTAATTTTTGTAATATAAAGTTTTTCCCTATATTTACTTGTTTTCGAGATATATCGACTTCAATACGCAATGTATGATATAACAGGAAAATCTATTACTTATTTTATTTAAATCACACTGAGACAAAAAAAATATTCTTTTAAAATATTGTTATAATAGCTTTATTCATATTACACACTAACTAACAAACAATAAATTATATAAAAAACGAATTATCAACTACAAAAAAAAATTTACAATGGTAAATCTTATAAGGTGCAGAGACGAACCATATTTTATCAAATGTTATTAAAAAGTCATAGGTGGCTCATGTCATTTGTTTAAAATAAAACAACGACAGATGACACATATTAGTTTTCCAATAATTACAGTTTTATCAGTTTGCGTCTTTCAATTTAAGTATACTAGTTATACGATTTACCATTGTATAATTTTTTTTCTGTAGTTGATCATTAGTTTTTTCTTATAATTTATTGTTTGTTAGTTAGTGTATATCATACATTGCATATTGAAGTCGATATAACTCGAAAACAAGTAAATATAGGGAAAAGCAAAAACATTTTTTTACATTGCAAAAATTACTCAAAATGTAACGATCTTTCAGATGGACTGTATTTCCACGTTCCAGGGAACAAAGAATTTTTTAGTATCGCCATGCCATCTATACAGAAAGATTTGAACTAATAATTCTAACTACAATTTGAAGTTATTCGAGGGACCTAACAAAACCAATTTCAAAAACTAAAATAAATTTCTTCATTTCGGAGATATTGGCAGCGGGAGTGTTAAATGGCACACCCTGTATATGTTTGCAGTAATTTTTCAATACATTTTTTTGATAAAGCATTTTATTAAACCCTGTGCGGGGGTAAAACGCAGTATAACTGTATTAGCTAAATTACAGCTTAAAACGTGAAAAATATATAAATACATTTTGCTATGGAACTTTGACTGACGAAATTTCACCAAGGTTTCGATAACAAATACTTAAAAATCTTGTGAAGAATATACATATTCGTTATAAATTCGTAAGGAGTATTTTTGAGTTAAATTCTCCTCCGACTGTGGTTCAATCGACGTCGGTACGCCACTGAGCAGTAACGCAACATTCTTTCTGGTGTTGCGGCAGATGAACCGTATGGGAATCCAATTTGGTCGTGTAACTCTAGGCTGTGTATGTGAAAAATTGCGAACGCTATGTAAAAGTGAAAGTCAACTCGTTGCGCGTTAAAGGTCGTCGATGTTTTAAATTTAAACGGGATGCCAGCGATTAGCGAGCTATCGTAACATCTTCCTATTAATTAAAAAATGCAACTCGACACCGTTATTGGAAACTAAAGCGATTCTATGAAACTGGAATCTTTCGCGGATGTGTATAGGCTGTTACAAAATTGATTTAAAGAATTTTAATTGAAACATATTTATTAAGGTCTAGGTCTGAATATTAACATGGAAGTAGAAAGGAATTGAATTGACTTTATTAATATCGATAAATGGTCCCTAATTGAATAACTTTTATAGAGGTTACTAATTTTGCAAGAAAAAATTGAAACAAAAGTTAATAAAACCCGTGATAGCAAGTACTGGTTATAAATTCATAAAAAAATTTAGTAATTTTTAACTGGACAGTAGTTCAAGAGTTAAAAAATTCGACATACCTGAACCAATGCGGTATAAGTCAAAGTTATCGCTGGAATAATACAGGGTGGACGCGTCACAGTCAACGTCTTCCCATTCAGCACAGATTTGATGATCCTGGTCAAAAGCTGTGGCGTTAGGACACAGAAACCTGAAATCTTGAATCTGCAAAAAAAAAGTGAGGACATAAATTTAAAGTAATTTTCTTTTAAAAAGATACATTTTTGCGTCACGAATTATTTTTAAATTAACTTATTTTTCTCTGTAGAACTTATAAAAAATTCTTATTACAGCCTTGATAATCGCTTCTCCATCCAAGGACCCAGGGTGATTAACAACTTCTCCAAAAAAATTTGGGAACATGTGCGTCATGAAAAATGGAGTAAAAAAAAATTTGTAAAATCCTTATAGCTTCCGAGAAAAAAATTATTCAAGTTGTAGTATTTTCAACCCTTACTTCGCTGGGCTACTATAGTCTCTAGCGTCATTTGCGTTGTGCGCTATGCACAATGCACTCTCTCTCCACGTGGCCAAAGGCGATTTCGAATACTGAAATCTGATTTTAGTATTAACGTTTTTATGATAGTGTTTACATTAGTGTTTCAAGTGTCAAAAATGGCTTACGTGTATAGCAACTATAGTTTTAATTTATGGTGAAGTAAGATAACATTTGTGTTATGATGAAACAAGACAACATTTGTGTTAGTTCGTGGGTAACACGGGCCGAAATGTGTTTACACGTCAGTGGACAAAATTTTGAATAGTTGTTGTAACATCAGGTATGTCAAATTATTTTATTAATTAAAACCACAAATTAATTTTATTAATTTAATAATAACAATAGCAGCAAAAGCCGTTGAATTTGCTGATATAAAATAGGCGTTATAAAATTTTATTTATATCTTTCCTCCTTGGGAAATAAATTCTTTCAATTTTTTATTACACTTTGCCGCTGGGCCGGTCGCCTTGTCAAGTTTTACAGTGGACCAGTTTCCACTGCCGTGCAGAAGTGTATTTTAAAATCATTTTCGAACTGCCTTTTTGATTTTTTTTACAAAATTGTATTTTTAACAGCCCCTATACATCCTAAAATTTTTTTTGGATAAGTTTTGAATCACCCTGTATATGTTGTGGTTAAAATATTCACCTAAGTTCAGTGTTTAAATACATTTAATTATAATCGAATAAAGTGTCAGTTGTTTTATAAAGACGAAAGACAGATTTAAAAATGCCTGTTAGCAGGTTTTTTTGTTACTTTTTGTCGTATTTCTTCGTTGCTCTTGATAATAGCCAGGAGCCGTAACATAAAATAAAGTTATTGTTATTCAGTAAACTCTAAATAGTTCAGCTATTAAATGTTCAAAATTTTTTCTCTTTGTAAAAACATCTTCAGTAAATGCAGTCGCCGTGAGGTATTTCTATTCATTTTAAATGAATTCATTGATGACACCCACTTGTCAGCGACGGCATAGTCAAGGCTGCTTCGAAAAAAAATCCAGCGGTCATATTGCAACTTAGAAATTCAAATGACAACAATAGCGAGTAGCTGACAGGATGGCTGCCATCACGACTAAGCCTGTTGCCTTGACCAACAAAGAGGTTGTTATGGGAGCTAAAGCCGGTGTTTCACAATTTTCGTATTTTTTTTGCAACACAGGTGTTTAAATGCTGGAAAACCTGATCGTGATGACATAACTCAAAATATACTTATAATAATAGGTATATATTATAGGCGACAGAGGACAAGGTTATAAATATGTATTAGTATCAAAAGAGAGTCTAATTTGGTGTAAAAATACTAAACTTTTTAAAATTATAAATGTTCTATGTAAAAAATGTAACTTAAGTTAGTAAAAATTTATGTCACGATGTGATACCGTGAGTCATTCGAAGAAGAAAAGTTTGTCGTATAGTTCTATGTCATAAATGCTTAGTTTTTGAGATATAGGATGTCAACATTTTCAAAATTATACGCAAACATCTCTCTAGAGATTTGACAAAGACTAATACAACTTGACAGTGACTTAATTAAGCAAAAAATCTCTTCCATTTTTTTCCGAGAACGAACCATTCAACAGTCTCTCACTAATCTACGCCTTTGAAAAATTTATTTGGAGCTATATTTTCAAAAATTTTATCATGTCTCGAAAGCTATGTCGATTAGGAGATAGGTTCATATTACTTGAAATGACCTACAAATTTTAATTATCTTAACACTAATAATAAAAAATAATAATAAACTAATAATAATAAATTATTACAATTATCTGAAAGCTTTAATTGTTCCATATACTATGGGGGCATGTAAATAGATAATTAAATGAATTAAATTATGGCGATTCTAATAGTTAGTACAATTATTTTTTAAAATCATTTTTGATATATTTCCGATATTCTTTTGCATCCAGTGTTTTGTTACTTTACTATTAACAATGAAATATTATTTTGTAACTTTATGTAAGAAGTTTTCCGGCGCCTATATTGTAGTAACTTGTTAACATGGAATGTGTATTTTAGTTATCACCAGAATAAATGCAATGAATAGTGTACATATATCCGTAATTATTACTTAATTTTAAAGGTTTATAACTTCATAATTATATGTAAAGGGTGTCGACTGATAACAATTCGAAAAAAGTAAATAACTGAACTGAATGACGCCAAACGAGTTTTTGTTATTCAAAACCTGCGAGGATAAAAAATAATGACAATTTCGATTTCTGGTGATTAACACATGTAAACTTATTTTTAAACGGATTTTACACAAAAATGGAATATTCTACCAATATGAACCATCATCAGAGTGGTCCCTTTAAGTGGCTATAACTTCCTTAGGAAGAATTTTTGGACCCACATTTATATAGAGAAAAAAGTAATCTTTTTCGACATAGAAATATTGCACCCTAATTTTGGGACACCCTGTATATTTAGTGAAAGATATAATATGGTGATAGATATAAACAACCTGTTTTCTCAAGAAAAATAAATACGTTTTTAACTGTATTAACTAAAATAAGTTTAATTACATAAGATATAAAAAAATATTCGGTATTTAAAATTCCGTTACAAAAATATTCTTTAATATTATCTAAATATGTACGTTGTTGGAATGATATGGTCAACAAAACTACTCACTGAAAGCACCTACTTTCCTTTTTGCAGATTTTTGTTATCGATACTCCCACGTCTGAAATATTTATATAAATATTTACGTTCCTTGAACGGTTGTTCAAAGATTGCTAAATTCCATGCTGAAAATGAAAGTCATCGATATGGGTGTTGGAATGAAAGCAGTTCTCGAAAAAAAAGTGACAATGAACTTCACCTCTTACACCCAAAGGTTGCACTAGATGTCCTTGTCGCTCTAAATTTGGATTTAAAGATTTATGGTACTTAAATACTGAACTGTAATTTTTGTTTTTTCACAGTTCTTAAAGGCGGACAGACGAGTAAAAATGAATAAGATAGTGTCGGTATCTATATAAATCTATAGAAATTTCATGATCTAAAAACAATAAAATGTTTTATTTTTAAGTATATGTCGCATTTGAAAAAATATTACATCTAGAATTCGAATATGCGACGTTCAAATGTTCTTTTTTCTGAAAATGAGTTTATTAAGCTATTACAAGTTTTGCGATAAACTCTATACAGTACTTCCATTGATATGAACAGTTACAGCAAGAATTTAAAAAGTAATTGCTGTTAAAAAGTTGAGAATATAGGTGGGGTGAGGGTATGGTGAGGGTAAATAGAAAACAAAGCTGGTTATTTACCCCTACTCCGGCGACTTTGACGCAGATGTGGAACATCTGGCACTGGGTGTCCACGTCAGCATAGTAGCCTCCCAAGATTTTATCTCTACAGGAAAATTCTGTATCTGGCATGTTTTCCAGACTGTAGGTGGGGAAAGGCCTGTTGTTGAGGAATTGGGCTTGGGCCCATCCCACACAGATACCTAGAAATAAAAAATAAACTTTGAGATTTGTTTTTGCAGCGAGGCTCCTGTTGCATAATAATAATACTTAGGTACCTATCACATCTGTGGAAGCAAAGAGGATATTGCGAAACACATCAGGTTTTATTGTATGCAAAAGAAAACGGTTATATAATATATTCACACGTCAAGAGTGCCCCTTTATTATTTGATAATATCTCATGGCATAGAAATTTTACTATGAAGTAAGTCTTTTGTTAAAAATACCTAAAGTTGTTTGCATGGTCGTAAAAATGTACATTATTTATTCAATAAGGAGTCTAAGTATTAAGATAAGTCGTACAGTGAATTACACCTATAATTACATACCGAAAAAAAATTGTATCTGTATTTCATTACTCGCAAAAAGTAAAAAAAATTCAATTAAAAAATTATTAATATTCTTAAATAATACGCATATCATAGGTATATTGTATAATGTTAACAAATGTTTTGTCGTGAGAATAGTTCGAAAATCTTCTAATTGTATTTAGGTTTTCAAATTTTGTATCGATTCTCTTAGACAATATCACGTATACTCTCAAAACAAATATTTCACAAAGAAAATTATTACGGTAAACATATTTTTACAAAATTTTTACTTCATCTTCCAAATGTTACGTAAATTTTCATTCAGAATATGATGTAATAATAAGAATTTCTATTTGATTTGCACTGGCTATATCTACTGAATACTTAAATGCCATCTTTATTTTCAAACTTAAATATACGATCACTTTCACTAATGTTTTTTAATTGACTTTATACGGGTTTAAAATACCTATTAAAATTTGCATATAATTAACAAAAAAATGTGAAATTTAGAAAATATATTTAGTTAGCCAATTACTTTTTAGTTATTACTTATTTCGATATATCTTACATTTTTTAATTTTTGTACATCATTGAACTGCGATAAATAAAATAATTGGTGTGCAACGAAATCTGCTAACCTTTACATTTTTTAATAAATTATAATCAAATTTAAACGGGCTTTTGCATGAAATTGACGAGCAATTACAGATTAAATGGTCATTCATTAGAAGTAAACTATAATTTCTCAATGTCAATGACTAAAGGTTTATCGAACAATTTGAAATTTTGGTCTAAAACACGTTGCTCTAAAAAATTATGTATTATAAAGGTCAGAACAGTTTTAAGATCTAGTGTTAGAAGTTATATCTTGCATATTTTTTTAAACAACGAGACGGTTTGTAGAATCAAATAAATAGTATATTAAATAAAACAAAATATTTATTAACCATAAAAAAAGTGTAAAGTAAACAAATTAAACGAAATTAATAAATTGATTTTAAAATTTCTCATTACGAACGTGCTGCGATAAAAAAGAAGCGTGCATATAAGGTTTTGGAGTTGGTAAATTTAACTATAACAGATATTTGTCCAATTTTTTTTTCGTTATCATCATATTATTCTGGCAAAAATTGATTCAGTACCCTACAAGATATTAAAAACAGCTGAGGATTCATCGAAATAAAAAAATATTTTGCGCACAATTCCAACCTTCTTCTTCACTCAATCTTCACTTCAACAGCTCACTCACCTATGAAAAACAAAACACTAACACCCCTCATGGCGGCAAGTCACTAACTAACTGAAGAACTTCGGAGATGCATCTTGAAGATGGGTTGTAGTGAAAGGATGTCCTTTGGGGGGTACTCGCGGGGACAATAGAGGGGGACTCTTGAAGGATACATCGCAAAGACACTCTCGGTTTTGTGGCGGATGTCTTGGGGAATTATTAGATAATGTGTGTTTGGTTGGTTGTTGTTTAGCTGACGAGTTAAGGTGCCTACGATTGTGAAACGCGCCCTACACTTAAGTGTTTAATTAATGAGAGAAAGCTCGATAAATCTAATAAATATTTTTAAAGTAGCTGTATAATACAGTATATTTAAAAGTTTTAAAAAAATTGATGGTCATATCAGTTTCCTATTATATGGGTCTTTTTCAACTTAATCATAAATTGAGAGAAGCAGAATATTTAATAGAATATTATTTAAGCTGATTAACATAATATGATAAAAATAAGTTTATATATAAACAATAAGTAGGCAAACCAGTTATATTACGCTATAAAAATAACTGAATTAACAGGAATTGATAGTATTCTAGTATATACAAGATAAAAACCTTCAATTTTTTAAGAACATCAACTTCTGGCAAATATTTTTCTCGATTTCTCTTTGGTTCATCTTTTAATCTTCGTTCAATAAAAGCCTTTTGTTCATCAACTAAGTATGATAAAATGGTAACTTATTTATGTTTTATACAGGGTATCCGAAAGCAAAAGGGCAATACTTGAAAGGATGGATCAAAATAAAGCTATCCAGATTAAGCTATCTTAGTACAGATAATTGTACTAAGAAAGCATATTCCTTAAAAAATTACGGGCGTTCAAAGTGTTTTATTTACTTATTTTTTAAGATAACTTTGTCAGTTTTTAAGATATTTCATTGAAATATGGTACGGAGGGGTTTCGGGATAGCCGAGAATGACCAGAGACAATTATTGTTTACCCAAAACATAGAGACCATTAAAAATATCCAAAACAGTATTTTATTTTTATTTGGTAGAGGCTCTCAGAAAAAGCAGATCTTAATGATGCTGGGAATAGCCTCCTGACAGGAAGTACCCTGTACTCTGATATATAAAACAATACATTTTTGATTATTTGAGACATCTCGTATGTATTTTTTTATATTCAAGATACACAAAACTTTTTTGCCTCTTGTTCCTCGATGATGATGTAATAACTGGAAATGGTAAATGTATCATCAAGTCTATTGTTATTTAGGAAATTATAATGATTTTATTTATCTTAAGTAGATTTGGATTTGCATAATATATAAATTTACCTTGCAGCCTTTGAATAATTCTAATTTAAAATCAATAAAACCAAACAAGGAAATCAATAATCAATATAAACTTAATGTGGCTAGTTCACAGCATTTCAAAGCCGTTAGCGATATTTGATTATTGTCAACAAAATATTATACAACATAATTTCTAGAAGAAAAGGATGGGTTTAAGTGCTTGTTGATATAAAATTATTAAACGTGAAAGTGTGGAATGTGTGCGTAACATTTCGTTTTTTTATTATATGTACTTAGACACCTGTCTTCCATAATGCTTCAGGTTTAGGTTAGGCTTTCCTTAAGGAATTTACTAAACTATTCTTTCGTACAGTTGCTTCTCAATTACCATATCATTATGTTGAAATTTACTATGATGTTCATTGATAAAAGATTACAAAATTTTTAGTCAGCTAGCCACTTTGACTGCCCGATATAAATTGTATCAGTATTATTTTGCACGGTTATTATAAAGAAAAAAAAATTGTGTGATATAATATTAGGTCATAAGGCCAAATTAAAAAAAAAAACAAAGTACCTGTCTAATACAATCACAATTCAACAAAGGTAGTTGCCTCTCTCTGTTAGTTCCTCAGTCAATGAGGAAGCTGAATTGGAGGGTATTCATCGTGGTAAAAATGCCATTAATTAGTAAGAGAAGAGAAATTTCGTCGGGTGAGAAATAATTAACGTAAATGTAGACAATGAGACTGTGATTCAAAAATAATTGCGAGTTTTCAATAGGAGCGCGATGAATTAAACATAAACATCGACATTTGAAAGTATGTTGTGGGTGTGATGATTTTTGGCTGGCTAGTTTTGCAGCAGAAGTAGTAAAATAAATGTTTAAAAAATATTCGTGACGTACAAACAAAGTAAAAAATGAAATAAAAGAAATAAACATAAATTCTATTAGTAGCTTTTTTTTACTACTTATTTTACAGTAAAAAAACTAAGGATATTAAATGATAAAGTAGTAGTTTATAATCATATTTTAGTCACGAATAACACTATCTATATAATTATTATATATTTAACAACCGCTAAACCACTTTTTTAATTTTCTCGTAATAGAGAATGATACAGGCACCTAATAGAACTTAAGTTTTGAAATACTAAAGGAAATAACAGAGTAATTGGATTTGGATATAAAAAATATAGTTTTCTATGTTACAGACGTATAATTATATACAAACATAAACGTTATCTAATAGGTAGCCATACAACCATAAAATATATAATTTGCTTTCATAAATGCTTTAGAGAATAATAGTTTGAAATTGGTTACACAGTATTTGAACAAAACTATTGAAAATTTTAGAAAGATGTATTAAAAATTGTCGTGATGTAAATAAGAAGTTGATTAAACTATAGGGACGCTAGATGCTGTAAACAATTGAGGTTTGTGGTGGGTGAGATTAATAATAATTATTACCTTTACATATTGGGTTGGAATTATACAGGGTGGTCTACATAAAAGAGATTTTTTAACAACTCTGGTAATATCAATAATATTAAAATATGTTTCCATGAAGAGAATCTTCGTTTGAAAATTAAGTTATCTCATTCCCAAATAAAACTTTTGTGCCTCCTGAGTCTATTTTTTTTTGTAAATTCACAGTTAAAGTCTAAAAACGATGACAACATGTAGGTGAAAATCAAAATATAAAATTTTGCGCAAATAGCTCATTCGTTTCCGTACACCCTGTACAATTCAGGAATAGAGGCTGGGTGATTTTAATACGGTTAATTGCTCATTTTCTCACAAATAGTGCGCTTTTGACGATTTCAACAAGAATACCTACTCTTTTATGCAAAGTGAAATTTTATATACTACAAATAACACAGCCACACAAAAAAGAAGTTGTCTGTACATTTCATATATGTCGCATGAAAAGTACAGACAATTCTTTTTTGTGTGGCTAACCTCAAAAAAGTTTGTTAAACATATCACTGGAAAGGTTGTAGTTAGCGACCTCTAGTAGATTGTGAAGAACTAACAGCATTAGCGTTGATACTTTTGAAGATACGTATATAGTATCTTCAAAAATTCAATGCATTGGTCCACTGGAAAAAATCTCATTTTTTAATGTTCTACCAGTTCCTGAATTTATGGTGTCTAGATAGAGGGAAGGATATAAAAAATTTTAGCTAATGCGTTTCATTCTGTAACTTAAATAAAAGCTTAAACATTTTTTGGTCGAATTCGAAATTTCGTATTTTATCTCGAACTGTAATCTACAAATAGGATGTATTATTGGACTTATAGAGGGTGATCTAAATATAAATTAGAAAATAACATGAAAAACAACCGATGAGTTTTAAAATAGTAATAATTTCGAGTTTGAATTTAAAGTTTCGTATTCTAACTCAAAATTTGATAAAAAGTACGTATGGCCTGGTAATTATTAATTATCTTTTTCGTTCCCTCATAATTTTATATCTCATTATCGGCGTGCGTTTTTTATGCCGTGTGTAGACTTATCATGTTTTGGCTACTTTGACAACAAATTTATTTGTACTCGTACATTCATATAAATATTTTTCTAATATAACTTTGGTACTGGTATATGATGGTGCTCAAACATCATTCTCACAGTACATTTTGACTTTGGAAATTCCCTTATTATGTGGCATTAAATTTTTAATGCGACAATATCAATAAAACATTTAAAAAAAATCTAAATGTCCGTGATGAAACATTTTAAACTCAACGAAGAATTCAATAGTGCAATGCCTAAAACATTATGTTGGATAACGTCTACAAGAAATATGACAGTTTGTACAATCGAAAGTATTTCCAAAATTTGAAGTAATTGATTTGCTGTATTTACCCTTTCTTCTTAAATTTGCTAAGTTATGGAAAATATCGTCAAACGCAGCATTCTTCTTAAGGCTGAATTCGACGAAAAGACAAGTGAAAGTGATACGAGTAAGGTCAGAGAATCGTGCCGTTTTTTCTTATGTAGGATAAAGATGAGCCCGCGTGTTGTGACTACCATACATATTCCCGTGTGAATAGGTCTATAGAGCAAATCGTACAGCTCGTCGATCGATTTGGAGGTTAGAATGCGGATTTTACGATCAAGGATGACACGATTTTCATGTAATAGTGTCATGTATTAGAAGGGCTCAGAATCGTAGTAGGTTTTGGAAGACAGCCGGATTTTATTTTTCAGTAGGGATGATAAACACATTTTTAACAGTTTTGTGTTGTTATACAGGGTGTTTTACAATCTGTATGACAAATTTTGACAAATGGGTTAATTTGAAACATTTTTTCTTATATCAATATAGGTCCGATTCGGTTTTGTTTAGAAGTTACAAACATTTTAACAGATGTAATTTCATATTTCAATCAAAGTTGGCTGATAAATAAAAATGATGGTTGCAATAACAATAATTATTATTTGTGTTTAAGGTGTAAACATTAGTTGAACTTTTTTAACCAAATTAACAAATCTTAAGACTATAAAAATTGTTCAAAATATCCACCCTCAGCTAACTAAAGATTTCGTCATTCGAGGGATGAGATTTGGATCATTTCTTCTGGTTACCAACATCCTGAATAGACCTTTTTAGTAGTGACGTCACCTACGCCAAGTAATAGGCAACCCCATAGTGCACATTGTCATGCAGAATTTCCAATATTTTTACTAGATCGATTTTCGACCTTTGGACTTTGGACATAAGTGTTAAAAAAAAGTCTTCTTTGTCATGAGCATAAATATGACGGATAATCTGGCAATATTAGAAATATTTAAGAAACTTCA